CTGGATTAAAAGTGTGGATCATTGTAACCTGGATTAAAAGTGTGGATCATTGTAACCTGGATTAAAAGTGTGGATTATTGTAGTGAAGCCTTCGTCTTCAACCATGGACAGAGGCCTCGTGTCAGTGACGATCATGTTCAGGATGTTTCAGTGAAGACAGCTGCTGCTGTGGTGTCCATGATGTCTGTCCATCATGAAGGATGTTGTTGTTGTTGTTGTTGTTCTCTGGAATGAGACAGTAAATATGTTTTATATCATAATTTACAGCAACTTAAGACATGCCTTGTTTCACTTACAGTGTTAGGTTCAGGCAAAAGTAGCTAAAAGCAATTAAACACACACACATAAATAATTACACACATTTGAGTAGATGTAATAAATTACTTTAATTCCTGTTTAAATGCAATTCATCCTGCCATACCTGCAGTGTCTTCAGACTTTGCCAGCAAATTAAAAGTTGAAGCTTAATCATTAAATTATTATCTTTGTGTTAGATTTATTTATAAATCACATTTAAACGCTGCTTGTACCAATTAAATTAAATAAAAAGTAACACACGTTCTCTATCACCGTCATTAATCAGATAAACAAACAAACAAACAAACAAACAGCTTCATCTACCAGAGAGACTGACGTTACGTTTTCTCTCTTGAAACAGAACAAAGTGTTAAATTGTAGAGACTCACCTGCAACACATGAAGAGTTGTATCAGCTGCAGCTCCTTCCTCCTCCTCGTGACTCCGACATGTTTACGTTTATCTCCGTGGTTCTCCCGTGTCGTGTTGTCACTTTTCAAAGCTGCATGTTGCTCAGTTTTTATCTTTGTGAAGAGCTCCCACTCTTTGGAGGACTTGGGTCAAACAGTTTTTGCTGTGTTGGTCATTTGTAAAATTGACTTATTTTCCTTTGAAAACACTCTGCCTCCTCCCCCCTCGCTCTGCTCAACTCGCGCTGCAGAGTTTTTTTTTCAAACTTTATTCAGTCAGTCAGCGTTGACAATGAACTGCAGGTGAACAAAACGGCTCCGCAGCGCCGTGAAAGATGCATAATAGCGCAAAACAACGAATCGATAATGAAATTCGTTGCCAACGCTTTTAATCATCGATTTTTATCAATTTTATCGATTCATTGTTGCAGCCCTAATCTCATTCAATGTCGATCTTAAATTTTCTTCAACGCACTCTTTCCTTCCATAATATTAAGAATATCAACCATGACATTCTTTTGACTCATATTAATAATACCATCTTCACCTTCAATTCTTTTAACCCAGATGACCTTGTCACATTCTACAATAACAGCCTCACCAACATCCTTAACTCTGTCGCTCCTCTGAAAACCCGGTCTGTCTCCTTCTCCAACTCTGCACCATGGTTCACTCCAGAACTCCATTCTCTGAAATCCAAAGGTCGGAGGTTGGAGCGACTCTATAAGAAATCCTGTCTCTCAATGCCCAAGGAACTCTATGCGAACCACGTCATCCAGTATAAGGACAGTATTTCTCAAGCCAAATCCAGATACTTCTCTGACATCATCAGTTCCATTGTTGGCACTTCAAAGACTTTGTTCTCTCTCCTTAACCGTTCAGTCTCATCTCCTAACTCATTACCCTCTCACATGGTTTCCACAGAATTTTGCAACTCTCTGATGTCCTATTGGACCTAATACCGCTCCCAGCATCTTCTGAGACTAGTTCTGTTGGAGCTCCAGAAATAAACTGAACTGGTTCTGCAGAACCCTCTTCAGCCCTTCTGTTGTCCAAACAGAACCACAGATTTAGGGTTCTGTTTTTGTGCAGGAAGCTTCTGGATCCAGGTCTGTCGGGCTCCTCCCGGCAGAACATGTTCCTGAACCTGCTCTACAAGTCCATGAGGTCCGACGTGGCGCCGAGGCGGGTCGGAGCCTTCATCAAGAGGCTGCTGCAGGTCGGCGCTGAGCAGAACCCCAGCTTCACCTGCGGAGCGCTCTTCCTGGTGTCCGAGGTTCTGAAGGCTAAACCAGGCCTGAAAAATCTACTGCAGGAAAGTGAGGTGAGGTGAACTGGGTCAGAACCAGGTCTTCAGTCTGAACTGTGTCAGGACCGAGTCAGGACAGGTCCATAAGAGAAGCTCCTCTGTTTTTAAATTGTTCTGTTGGGTTCTGCCAGGTCAGAGAGGATGAGGAGGACTTCAAAGACATCTTGGAGGAGGATGATGAAGAAGACAACTTTGTGGATGGAACTGGAGACGGGTCGGATCCACCGAAGGTCAAACCCACAGCATCGTGGATTCATCACCAGAACCTGGAAGGTGTGTGGTTCTGGTTCATGATTGACTGGTTTTAGTCTCTCATTATGTTTTTCAGAACCGTCCAGTGGATCTGGTTCTGAACATCAGAACATTCTGGACATCATAATCTGAATATCAGAACATCATCAGAACCAGAACCGTCCAGTGGTACTGGTCCTAATGTTCAGAACCAGAACCACTGGACAGTTCTGGTCCAGACAGTCTCAGGTTCTGATGTTTGGATCTTTTCCTTGCAGGACAAAGTTCTGAGAAGTACGACCCGCTGCACAGGAACCCGCTGTTCTGCGGCGCCGACCACACCTCGTTATGGGAGTTACACAGGGTGAGGACCAAGCCCAAAGGTTCTGACCCAGACCAGATTTTATTTGTGTTGTTGAAACCGGGTCGTGTCTGTGTCCGCAGCTCGCTCAGAACTTCCACCCATCTGCGGCGCTGTTCGCTCAAACCCTCCTGCAGGTAGAACCACCCACCAGTAGAAGCTCGGTTCCACCGGTAGACCTGGTTCTTATGGTTAATGTGGTTCTGACCCACAGGGAGACTCTATCCAGTACTCCGGAGACCCGCTCCAGGACTTCACCCTCATCCGGTTCTTGGACCGCTTTGTCTTCAGGAACCCCAAACGGCTGAAAGGAAAGAGTGAGTTCTGGACCGGTCCAGTCTCCATCAGAACCTCTTCGTCTGTTGATTGACAGCTGGGTCAGACACCAAGCTGTGGTTCTGGTTCTGATGGTTCTGGTTCTGTCGTGACGTTTGATGTTTTGTTTGTCATCAATCAGGAAGCAGTGATTCTGTGGTGATGAGACCCAAACAGAGGTCACCTGTGAACTCGGTACCAGGTGAGTCGGGTTCTCCGAGGATCAGAACATGTCTGACATCAGCTGAGCGTCCTCGTCTCACTCTCTTTTCTCCCTACACTCTCGTTCTTGTCTCACTCTGTCCTCGTGTCTTCTGTCAGTCAACTGTCCTGAGTTCCTGTCCAAAGATGAGAGTCAGATTCCCGTTGATGAAATCTTTTTCCATCGGTGAGTCTCATAGTCAAGTTCGGTTCCGTGGTTCAGAGATGGTTCTGATCCAGTTCTGTTTTTCCTCCAGATTCTTTAAGAAACGGCAGCAGGACAAACTGAGCCGGCGTCCAAGAAGAGACGGAGATGATGAGAGTGTGGAGGACGTGGACGATGATGAATTTGAGAAACTTCTGGGTGAGTTAAGTCTTGTCGTCTTTTAGGGAAAAGTCTGCCACACTTTAATGTCTGTTTGTTTTGACTGATTGATTTTGGTTCAGTCAATAATCAAAGGCTAATAACCCTGAGGCTGTCAGACTCCTGAATTCTCCTCTAACCAGGATAATCACTGTGAAAAATCACATCATGTTGCTGCTGATCTGTTTCCAATTTATCAAGACGGCGCCGGTGTGTAGGGCTTGCCGTACATCGCTCTCTGCTTTGATTTTGTTTTTATTTGTTGTACAGTGTGTTTTGACGCATATCTGCAATATGATAGTCGGGCACTTTTGGAGCTCCATACATTTGCAAAATTGCCTGCGGAGCTTCTTCACAGCAGTTGGGACTCTCTCCCTCCGGTCCTGTCCAGGATAACCTTCCTGCTTCGTGACCCTGGCCCATCTCCCCGGAGGAGACACCGTAGACGTCAGGGAAAGCACACTGGAGTTTTGGTGAAAATGAGGCACCGTGTGGATTATTCTGCCAAGGATGCTGGGTCTCCTTCTGGATCTGGATCTAATCCTTGCCTCCCGGACCCATGGTGCGTCTGGGGTCCTGCTGTTGGCCAGCTACCCGTGCGCCCTGACCATGTAAACAACGGGAGTTGTCTACCGGTGTGGCGGATGACCCAACCTGGAGGTGCTGATGTTCAAAATCTGCGGCCGCTGGCGCGTGCTCCCTCCACCACTGCTGGGTCCACTTTGGGCTGTATCAGGATGTGTTTGGTCAAATGCAAGATCCATTACCAACAAAACTTTTATCCTCAGGGACTACTTTCAAGAGCACAATTTGGACTTTCTCTGCGTCATGGAATCTTGGATGTCTCCCGGTGAGTCCAGCGCCTTGACGGAATTATTACCCCTGGACTGTTTGTATTTAACGCCCCGCGGCCATCAGGCCGGCGTGGTGGTGGATTATTAACAATATTCAAATCAAATCAGGCTGTAAACAACTGCCCATCCCGGTTTCCTGCTCCAGTTTTGAGCTGAGCGTCTTTGAACTCGGCCATTCGCCTTCGACTCTGTGCGCACTTGTTTACCGTCACCCTCAATCCAATGATTTCATAAATGAATTTTCTGAGTTCTTAGCTGAAATCACATCAAAATATGATTGTGTTTTGATCATTGGGGACTTAAATATTCATGTTTGTTGTCAGGAGAAGCCCTTGGTTAAATGCTTTTTAGATTTATTGGACTCATTTACTGTGATGGACTTGCGACCTGTCCAGGGTGTCCCCCGCCCCTCGCACAGTGATTGCTGGACATGGGCACCAGCGATCCCCGTGACCCAAAATGGAAGAAGCAGGTAAAAGATAATGGATGGATGGACTCATTTAATCAAATTCGGCAGGTAAATGGTCCCACCCAGGAGCGCGGGCACACACTGGACCTTGTTTTAACACGTGATGTAACAGTTAGCAGTTTTGAAATCGAGGGTGGTTAGAAAATAGAAAACCCTTCACTGTGCTGGTAACATTAATTAGATGTTAATAATGATAAGTGATGTCTATTTGATGTTAATAAACTGTCAGTATGAACCTCAAAGAACCCTCATTCATGATAAATGATAACACCCTCATTCGACACGTGATGTTCTCAGCTCAGGGAGTAGAACCGGTGACTTTTTCCTCCCTGGCACTCCACTCCATTCCCCCTCATCAGGGGCATTTCCTCGGACACCTGTCTGGCATCCATCCTTCAAACCCGTCATTGGACTCGCAACCTCTCTGTCAGCGACTCGCTTGGAGCTGCATTATCAGGAAAAAAGAACAAACATCCTTCTCCCACAATATCACAAAACTCCATCAGTCCATCTATCTATAACATGTCTGCATTGGTCCCTGCCAGGAGTCCAACAGATTCTAAGTGTCTTTAAGAATCTGTTGGACTCCTGGCAGGGACCAATGCAGACATGTTCCTGTTTTTAGTTTTATACATTTGTCTTGGAATCTAGCTGTTTTTTGTTTTGTTACCTTTTTCCTTTTAGCCATCCTATTTGTTAAAAAAAAAAAAAAAAAACTGTATGAGTTTTTATAACTGTTTATTGTTGTTGCTGTTGTCCATTGTTGTCATCTTTCTTTGTTGAAATCAGGTCTCTCTTGTAAATGAGTCCTCGAGGCTCAATGGGATTTACCTGTATAAATAAAGGTTGATTGATATCTAAATTTCTATAATTTTCAATATCAATATATAATTATCAATTATCATCCATTCTGGGTAAGTCAATGGTTCATATTGCAGGTTCATACTCTCTGTCACCTCTCTGGGAATGTTGATCACAAACTCACACAGGTGTTCCCTGCGTTCACCTTCCTGGATCTTTCCCAGCTTAGATAACCTGAACAGGTGATAAGAGACACAAACACCCTGCTGGCAACCAGACAGACAGAGTCCATCCTTACACCCGTCATCCTATTCCTGTCAAGTTTTCCTGAATTGAGTCATCACATTTAGCATTTTATCAGCAACACTTACGGTGTTTCTTCAAGCACCAAATTTCACAAGTCATTATAATTGTCATACAACATCACTCTAAAATGCTATATCTTAAATCATGTTAGTATTATTATATATTTTCTGTTAGTATCTGTTAAAGAACAATAAAGATAAGTGAAAATAGTGAAAAAGAAGTAAAAATAGTGTATTCCAACTCTGTTAGCACTTGTAAAAATCTTACTCAAGATAAAAACATCTATAGATTTGGTTTAATCTGCCTGTAACTCTGTCACCGAACATTTTAAGTGATTTAGAAGTCAAATATCTAGCAAAGTTTTTGATCCTTATATTATACAGGTCCTTCTCAAAAAATGAGCATATTGTGATAAAGGTCATTATTTTCCATAATGTAATGATAAAAATGAAACTTTCATATATTTCAGATTCATCGCACACCAACTGAAATATTTCAGGTCTTTAATTGTTTTAATACTGATGATTATGGCATACAGCTCATGAAAACCCAAAATGCCTGTCCCAAAAAATGAGCATATCATGAAAAGGTTCTCTAAACAACTATTAACCTAACCATCTGAATCAACGACGTAACTCTAAACACCTGCAAAAGATTCCTGAGGCTTTTAAAAACTCCCAGCCTTGTTCATTACTCAAAACCACAATCATGGGTAAGACTGCCGACCTGACTGCTGTCCAGAAGGCCATCATTGACACCCTCAAGCAAGAGGGTAAGACACAGAAAGAAATTGCTGAACCAATAGTCTGTTCCCAGAGTGCTGTATCAAGGCACCTCAGTGGGAAGTCTGTGGGAAGGGAAAAGTGTGGCAGAAAACGCTGCACAACGAGAAGAGGTGACCGGACCCTGAGGAGGATTGTGGAGAAGGGCCGATTCCAGACCTTGGGGGACCTGCGGAAGCAGTGGACTGAGTCTGGAGTAGAAACATCCAGAGCCACCGTGCACAGGCGTGTGCAGGAAATGGGCTACAGGTGCCGCATTCCCCAGGTCAAGCCACTTTTGAACCAGAAACAGCGGCAGAAGCGCCTGACCTGGGCTACAGAGAAGCAGCACTGGACTGTTGCTCAGTGGTCCAAAGTACTTTTTTCGGATGAAAGCAAATTTTGCATGTCATTCAGAAATCAAGGTGCCAGAGTCTGGAGGAAGACTGGGGAGAAGGAAATGCCAAAATGCCAGAAGTCCAGTGTGAAGCACCCACAGTCAGTGATGGTCTGGGGTGCCATGTCAGCTGCTGGTGTTGGTCCACTGTGTTTTATCAAGGGCAGGGTCAATGCAGCTAGCTATCAGGAGATTTTGGAGCACTTCATGCTTCCATCTGCTGAAAAGCTTTATGGAGATGAAGATTTCATTTTTCAGCACGACCTGGCACCTGCTCACAGTGCCAAAACCACTGGTAAATGGTTTACTGACCATGGTATTACTGTGCTCAATTGGCCTGCCAACTCTCCTGACCTGAACCCCATAGAGAACCTGTGGGATCTTGTGAAGAGAAAGTTGAGAGACGCAAGACCCAACACTCTGGATGAGCTTAAGGCCGCTATCGAAGCATCCTGGGCCTCCATAACACCTCAGCAGTGCCACAGGCTGATTGCCTCCATGCCACGCCGCATTGAAGCAGTCATTCATGCAAAAGGATTCC